TAATCATACCGAAACTAGGGACCTCGTGCCTCATTTTCTGCAAAACAAAAGGGTTAGACCCTATCCCCACCAGACTTAACTATTTAATACCAACAATTAGTATGAAGCATTTAGTTCTCCAAATAAATTCACAAAATGTGATAATGTCCGTTTGGGTTTTAGAGAAACCCAGGGGACTTTGGACAAGGCTATCTTAAAGGATTATTATGTGGACAACATAACTGACCCGACTAGGTTTGACCATGATACGTGCACAATTTAAACAGAGTAAGGTTTCTATGGGGTTTTAGACTGGTACCCTTGAGCGGACAACTCAAGGGGGAAGGCACGGAACTGTCGACTGCACTGCTGATCAACTAGTTTTACCGCAAATATGTCTTTCCGAATTTAGGGGGTAATGATATAGGAAGAGTGCAACCACTCATTATAAGCATTGCTATAGTATTTGTTTGGCACGAGTGGAGTATGATGTTGAGCATGATTATGCAATAATTAAAAAAACATGTTGACATATACTTGCACGTTAAGAAAGCGATAAATAAAGGAGTTTTATAATTTAAAGCGGCAATAAAGGAAAGAAACATGAAGACATGTCAGTTTCGCATTTGAAAAAGAAATTTAAACAAGTAATTGCACATAAGGGAGGTACAAATTCACAAGAACAGTCTGAAATGGTAAAAGCCTAAATATCCCCAGCAAAGTCGCCATGCTGTCGCACCACCCTTTTTTCCCCCTTCCAACGGAGGGGAGTTTCCGGGTTTCGACATTCATGGGATGTAATGACTCGTTCCTTTTGGGAGTTGGGTATTTTGAAGAGTTGTCACCTAATAATTTAGGGCGCATTAGGACACCTATAGAGTTCTTTTGCAACTATGTTTGATAACCAGAGATTGGGTAAGGGCTTGAAATTATCCCAAGGGGAAGGTGTTAGGCACCCCTCAGGATCCACTAGTGTGGTTCCCGTCCAGATAGTTTTTTGTGAATTTGTGCAATTAGCAAGTAATCAAATAAAAGGCTCAAGTAGTAGGGGATTTAAGTTTGAGTACACAAGTGCAAACAATTATTAAAAGGCAGGGTTTTGGAAAAAGAGTTATAAGCTAGACATGCTTGTAAAAGTAAAAGGGGGTCTTAGGTTTATTTATAATATGGATCACCTCAATGCAATACCCGGTATGACACTCCTCAGAAGAGGGGATACATGTGGTATTAGCGCACCGGTCATCCTATCCATATCTACCCTTCCCACCCCGTTAAGGTATTAAAGCGCGGATTGGTCTCGACCTCTATTGCATGCTATTACCCATCTCATTCCTATCAATTCCAGAGGAATTTAGGACTACTATTCCTATAAGAGGGAGGATTTAGGCTGACACTTAGGTTTAAAGGTGAAAAGACTAAGGCGATATACAAAAATAAGTAGGACTACATTTAGAGGGGGGAACATATAAACAATGAGAAGGCTCATGTATACCTCCGCAAACAGTGCATATAAATAGCATGACTTAAACACAGTTAAGGTCTAAATTTTAAAAATCCTAAAGCAGAGTTTGAGTCAGAACTAGATTCATCGTATAACTCAGAAAAGAAGTCTGAATCAGGTCTGCCTGCTGGTTGTAGCAGTTGGTAATTAACAAAGGCAGTTCCAGTTTTATTTAAGTAATTACCTAAGGCTTGCCTAGGCATAATGGTGATGCTCATAGGACATCACCATTACGCCTAGGCAAGCCTTAGGTAATTACTTAAATAAAATTGGAACTACCTTTGTTAATTACTAACTGCTATAACCAGCAGGCAGGCCTGATTCGGACTTCTTTTCTGAGTTATACAATAAATCTAGTTCTGACTCAAACTCTGCTTTAGGATTTTTAAAATTCAGACCTTAACTGTGTTTAAGTCATGCTATTTATATGCATTGTTTGCGGAGGTATACATGAGCCTTCTCATTGTTTATATGTTCCCCCCTCTAAATGCAGTCCTACGTGTTTTTGTATGTCGCCTTAGCCTTTTCACCTTTAAACCTAAGTGTCAGCCTAAATCCTCTCTCTTATAGGAATAGTAGTCCTAAATTCCTCTGGGACTGATAGGAATGGGACGGTAATAGCATGTTGACGAGTGTCTGGCATGTGTAAAAATTAAACTCGTACTCTATGAAATTATAGTATAGAAAGATGTCGAACCCACAGAGATTGGTTTGTCTATTCTACAGACGTTTTTTATTTTAATTACTATTTGAGAAAATCAAAAAGAGTTGAGTTGTAAATTAACTAACTAAAAATGCATGAATAGAGCAGTAGAAAATATTTTATTTCTCACAAATATAATAAACAGGTGTTGGGATCCTGACTTCACTTAATACTTTTATTATATAGTAGATATATTTATTCTTTAATTTCTATTTCTCATAAATGTTACAAATGCCTCTCACGATTACATTTATATATTATTACTTAAGTTAAATAATTAATTGCACTCCTCTCGGTTATACAAATTAAGCGTCAAAATAGTAATATTAAAGAGCCAAAAATATATGCTTAAACTGAAACATGCTCTTTTTTAGTAAGTTCCTTTCGGTTACCCTACTTGTTTATAACTGACTATTACAATATCACCTCTTTCAATTATAAATAGTTGTAGAATCAATTTTAACATATAAGAGCTAGATGTCATTAAATAAAGTTAATATTTATCAATACCAAATTTAACTAAATTACTTCTTCCGCCTCTTTCGATTACAGAATTAGTACGTAGTTAAAATGTAGTACGAAATAGATAGATGTTGACAATTTAAATAACACCCAACTATAAAGCATATAAAATTTAAATAAAAAGTTTCAGCTCAAGCATGTGAAATTGAAGAATAATATCTATTATTATATAAAAATATTAAGATCCGCCATTCTCCCAACACAAGAAAAGTTACTCCATAATGGAATTAGTACTGACAACGGAAATATTCTTGCCCATTAACTAAGAAAATAGAAAGAAATATTCAAAAAAATAATTCTCCTATTTAAATAGAAATAGGAACTAGAGTAATTTCCTACATCGGATAACTGAAGAAGAAAGTAGAAGAAAGAAAAAGAAGATTTCAATTTTTTGTCTCGATTTCTCCTCCCCGAGAATTGTGTCCCGCAACTTTGTAAAATGACGGTATTTATAGATATTTCCATTGATTTTGCCGTGTATGTAAACTTTGTCTTTCATCTTGCCAACTTGCCAATGTTTAAATAAATTTTGATAAGAGAATGGTGTACACCAAGTGTACACGTGACTTTTGCTGATGCTAGCTTCTTTCTTTTCCATTTTCAACTTCCTTCTTCATTCTTATTTATTCCTTTATTTATATTTTGATATTACCTACAAGAGAATAACAATATTAGTATTAAGGATTCAACAACAACTCATATTATGCATAGTATTTTTATCTTATCACATGCGATAGAGGTCGAGACCAATCCGCTTTTTAATACCTTAATGGGGTGGGAAGGGTAGATATGGATATGATGACCGGTGCGCTAATACCACGGGTATCCCCTCTTCTGGGAAGTGTCATACCGGGTATTGTATTAAGGTGATCCATATTATAAATAAACATAGGACCCCCTTTTAATTTTACAAGCATGTCTAGCTTATAACTCTTTTTCCAAAACCTTGCCTTTTAATAATTGTTTGCACTTGTGTACTCAAACTTAAATCCCCTATTACTTGAGCCTTTTATTTGATTACTTGCTAATTGTACAAATTCACAAAAAACTATCTTGTCGGGAACCACACTAGTGGATCCTTAGGGGTGCCTAATACCTTCCCCTTGGGATAATTTCAAGCCCTTACCCAATCTCTGGTTATTAAACATAGTTGCAAAATAACTCTATAGGTGTCCTAATGCGCCAAAATCATTAGGTGGCGATTCTTCAAAATACCCAATTTCCAAAAGGAACGAGTCATTACACCCCATGAATGTCGAAACCCGGAAACTCCTCTCCGTTGGAAGGGGAAAAAAGGGGGGCGCAACACCAGTAAGAGACTTGGTAAATATGCCGGTCAGCTGTTCCTTTGTAGGAATGTAATGTAACGAAATCATCCCTTCTTGAAGTTTGTCGCAGACGAAATGACAATCCACTTCAATATGCTTCGTACGCTCATGAAACACTGGGTTTTTGGCAATGTGTAGGGCAGCTTAGCTATCACAGAAGACTGGTATGGGGAAACATAGGGGTATAGTGAGCTCATCTAGCAGCCTTGCAAGCCAAACCAACTCCCCAACCATATTCCTAGCGAACCTGTACTCTCCCTCAGCAGAAGAAAGAGCAATAATAGACTATTTCTTTGGCTTCCAGCTAATAGGACTGTCCCCAAGAAGCACTATATACCCACTTAGTGATATTCTGGACTCAGGATAGGTTGCCCAATCTGAGTCACAGAAGGCTCGAACTTTGTAGGCGTCACTCGTCACTATTAGAAAGAAAGATGTCCAAGTTTGGATCTTCTTTGAGGTATCTTAGCACATGAAATGCAACCTCCAGGTGAGGATCTATAGGACTTTGCATGTACTGACCCAAGTATTGCACGCTACAAGCAATGTCGAGTCTAGTATTAGTAAGGAAATTCAGTTTACCAATCAACTTTCTATAATATGTTGGATCTGGAAGCAGGGTACCCTCATATACCTTTAACTTGATTGAAGGATCAAGAGGATAAGGCATTGAAAAGTACTGCAAACAATCATATTCCTTCAATAGATCCATGGTGAGCTTCCTTTGGGATATTAGGACACTGTCATGTTTATACAAAACCTCCAGCCCTAAGAAGTAGTTCAACCTCCCCAAATCCTTTATCTTAAATGTCTCATGTCGGAATCCTTTTAATGATTATCTCGTATAGGAACCCTTTTAGTGATTCAATCTTATCTAGTTAGGACCCTGTGATTATAACATATCGACATGCATAACAATAAAAATGACTGAAGCTCCAGCTTTCTTGTAAATCAAGGAATAATCTAGCATTGAATGTACATACCCTCTTAAACACAATGCCTCTGCTAATTTTTCATACCATTGCCTACTTGCTTGCTTTAAGCCATAAAGGGACTTATTTAGCTTGCACGCCAAGTCTGGCCTCTCTACTACCAGACCATGAGGTACATCCATATACACTTTTTCATGAAGGTCTCATGAAGGAATGCATTATTCACATCCAGTTGAAAGTGCTGCCACCCTTTTTTAATTGCTGTTGCAATTAGCCCTCTCACTATAGTCATCTTAACAACTGGAGAAAAGGTTTCAGTGTAGTCTATTCCAGCTTGTTGTGTGTACCCTTTTACAACCAGCCTTGCCTTGAATCTCTCAACACCCCCATTTGATTTGTGTTTAATTATGTGCACCCACTTGCACCCTAGTGCTTTTTTACCAGCTGGTAGAGGGACTAAGTCCCAAGTGTTATTAGAATGTAATGCTTTAATTTCTTGTGTCATTGCAGCTTGCCAAGCAGGATTCATGGTTGCTTCTTTCATATGAGTTAGTTTCACAATCAAGTGAGATGCTCTTGACAAATTACTAACTATCTGGAACTAAGGCATTTAGGGATACATATTGTGCATGGGATACTAAAGTGTTAAAGAAAAAAGATGATGTACTAGAATTGCTATTGGAGGGTGTCACACAAGGAGAAATAGGAACAAAATGATGGAGTTGAAGTATGGGAATGGAGCACACATAATCGTTTAAGTACATAAGTGTTTTGTGTGTTCTAGCATGTCTGTGAGAAATATGTGACATGTCCTGTTAGTGTATAGCAGGTACAGGGGAAGTACTAGTAACTGTAGGGCATGGTGAAAAGTGAATTAGGTGTTGTATGTTCATTGGAGTATGTATCAATTTACAAGTGATCACTACCAGACAAAGTTGCAGGTGACTCTGTATTGTGAAGTGATTCAGGTGAGTGGGGAATGGAGGTTGTACCACCAGTGTTAGATGAGGATCCTGTTTGGCTTGAAAAAGTTTGAAAGACAAAGGAACCTGACCAAGACTAGATACCCTATTAGAATCAGAGGATAAAGCAAAAGGAAACATATTTTCATGGAAAATTACATCTCTTGAGACATGATCTTCTTTGTGACTAGATTAAGGACCTTGTACCCTTTTATCCCAAAGAGATATCCTACAAAAACACAGGGTGTTGATCTTGGCTTAGATTTGTCTTTATCGCCTTTAAGGATAGTGGAGAAGGAAAGATACCCAAAACTCCTGATATGTGAGTAAGTGAGCTCCTTTTGATAAAGTAGTTCAAGAGGACATTTATTATGAAGGAGAAAAGAAGGCAGTCTATTTATGAGATATGTGGCTGTGAGAATGCACTCTCCCTAATATTTCAGGGGCAATTTTGATCGAAAAAGTAGTGCTCTTGCTGTTTCAAGTAGGTACTTGTGCTTTCTCTCCATCACACCATTTTGTTGTGGTGTGTAGGGGCATATTTTCTTGTGCAAAATACCTTTGGTTTGAAGAAAAGAGACAATTTCAGAACTGGTAAATTCCAGTCTATTATATGTTCTATTAGATTTGATTGAGGTATTGAATTGATTTTCTACCATGATAGTAAAGGCTTTTAGGATTTGTATTGCATTACTCTTGCATGCCAAAAGATGTGTGCATATTGACCTATTGTACTCATCCACTAGTGTATTGAAATATCTATAGCCATCATGAGATGTAACATGGTATGGTCCCCACAAATCAATATGCAGTAATTCAAAAATTTTGATTGTGGATGTGGTCTTTTAGGGAAAAGGCAGCCTGTTTGTCTTGCCATGGGACATATATGGCAAAGAAAGGGTTGTTTGGATGTAAAAGTCACTAGTATGGATGAAATACCCTTCATTTTGACAAAAAGCACATGCCTTAATCTGTTATGCCACAAAGAATTTACAAAGTTTTCATTTCTCAAAGATTTATCAGCCACAGAATTGGACAAAAGACAACCATTCCCTTTATTTGCATTGAGGTATTTACAATAGGGATGACATGGGAATGTATCTTATCTACATATGATTGAGAAGGATTGGAAACTCTATGTACGGGATGACACACATAATCACTTGATGAAATAGAATTATTTGATGCAGAATTGAAAACAGAATTACTCTTGTTGAGTACTAAACATTGAAAATACAGACCATTCTTGGCTTTACCAATCTCTAGAGGCCTCTTCATTTAAGGGGCCTGCAGAATAAGACAGACAAATTTGGTAAAAATAACAATACAATCAAGTTGTATTGTCAAGGAATGCACAAATATTAAGTTATATTTGAAACTAAGCATATAGAGGACCTTTTTCAGAGTGAACTTAGGACTAAGAATCACTTCACCAATTTGTGTCACCTTTACTTTTTCAGAGTGAACTAAAGTTCTAATATTGGTTAGTAGGGATTTTTTTATAGGTCATGTGGTTTGTAGCTCCGGAATCAAGGATTTAAGAATCAATATTTGGTTCAAAACACTCATATGATTGTGAATTATACTCAACAGAAGCAGAGCATGCCCCAATACGTGAGAAGTTAACAGCTCCACTGTTCAGGATGACACTTCCAGAAACATCTCCTGCATTTTCACACTGAGTCTAAAAATTCTCCAGCAACCTCAATAACTGACCATAGTGCTCTTTGCTCTAATTATGTATGCTTCAATTCTGATCTTGGAAATCACCTTTATTTTCTCCCATATTCAGTCCATCATGTTGTGTACCAAAATATTTGTTGTAGTCCCCTTGCCTTTATTGGCTCTATTGAACATTTGTTGATTGTTGAACTTGTTGTTTTTGTTGTTGAACATCTACTGGTTATTGAATTTGTTGTTATTGTTACTTTGCGGATACCCATAAAGTTTGTAGCATTTATCCTTCGTATGTCATGCCTCTTACAATGCTCGCAAAACATTCTGGGCCTTCCTGAAAATTGGCCCTCGTGTATCCATTATTCCCATCACTGTTGGTGTTCTGATTGTAATTTGTCCGAAAAAATATTATTGCCTGCACCACTCACATTTAGTGAAGTAGACTCTAATACAAATTTATTCTGATAACTTATTTTCCCCTGCTTTTCTTCTTGATTAAGCATTGAGAAGGCTTGTGCCAAGCTAGGCAAAGTATTCATCATCAAAATCCTATCCCGCACCACTGTATACACCTTATTCAATCCCATGAGAAATTGAATTAGTCTCATATCCTGTTCTGCTTTGTGCATATTTGCTTTGGCTCCACATGTACTGTGAGCACGTAATTTTTTCTTCTCGAAAACTACTCCAAAAGAAATCCAAAAATAAAACAAATTGCCTTTGGGTACAATTTTGAGAATTTTGCGTGACATTTTGGATAATTATTTTTGTCTGTGAATGTTTACCTTGTTTTAATTAATTGAAAAATATCAAAATACCTGTTGCGTGCATATTTAGGATTTAATTATCCATTTTTAAATTAATTAAACCATGTCCTATTTTAAAGAATGAAAATCACAAAAATATGAATTTTTGGTAGCTTTGTCATTTTTATTGTTTAACTGTGTGATTTTATTTTAATCAATATTTGATCTTGTGTGTAAATTATTGTTAAGGGTTAATTAATATCTTTTTAAATAATCTTGGGCTTACAATTTAATTTAGGAATTTTGGTTTTTAGGAAAAAGAAAATGAAAGGAAAAAAGAAAAGGGTGAAAATTGGGCCAAATCGGAACTGGGCCAATTTCAATGCAAAATCAGGCCCAAATCATATCAAACGATCCAATCCAATAGGCTTGGTCTCTCAGACAGTCCAAACGACGTCGTTTCGGCGCCTCAGATCTAAGCCGTTGATTTGTTTCCATCGGACGGCTCAGTTCAACCCAGCATTATTTGAAACGACGCCGTTTTAGGCAAGTTGATCCGAGCCATCCGTTCCCAATGATCTAACGGTCCCAGCCTTCCCCCATAACCCGGTCCATTTCAACCCGGGTCGACCCAGTCTCGATGCATGA